CACTGGGTGTTATGCACAAACAATGAATCATGGAACACTTCATCTAGAACTAATGATGTAATGTATGGGGATTAACATAAGAATAAAAAAAAAAAGTGTTCTGAGAAAATTCAATGGTAGAAAAAATTGTATTTTCAACAGATCCTGCTAGGACAACTGGATATCCACATATAAAAGAATGAAGTGAGACTCCCTCCATCAGACCATATACAAAATGAATGCAAAGTGGATTGTATCTAAATGTAAGAGCTAAACCTAAAAACTGTTAGAAGAAAATGCAGATATAAATCTTTTGTTTTGTTTTTTGGATTTTTTTGGCTGTTTTTTAAATTTGATTAGCCAACATATAGTACATCATTAGTTTCAGATGTAGTGTTCAATAATTTATCAGTTGTGTATAACACCCAGTGCTCATCACATCATGTGCCCTACAGATATAAGTCGTCATGACCATAAAATAGGCAATGATTTGCTAGCTTTGGTGCCAAAACACAAGCAACAAGGATAAAATTGATACATGGAATTCACCAAAATTACAAACATTTGTGCTCCAAAGGACACTATCAAGAGAATGAAAAGACAACCCACAGAACGGGAGAAAATATTTGACAATCATATATCTGTAAGGGGTTTGAATATGCCTCATTCTAGTTGTGTGATCTTAGGCAGCTCATTTTCCCTTATTGGACCTCAGTTTCCTCTTCTGTGAGATGAGAGTTGGAATAACTGATAATAGAAAGTAGTACTTAAATAGGACTTTATGGTTTATAAAGTGCATTCTTATTCATTTATTATCTTATTTAATCTTCATTATAACTCTGTTATAAAGGCATTACTATTATTCTCACCTTACAAATAAGGAAGTTTCTATTGCGACATCACTTTTATGTATGGGATTCTACCACTGCTTTGCTTTGTAAGACTGCTTTCCTCTCCCCAGGTCCCTGACATTCCATGTCATGACTTCATGGTAGATCTAGGTTGAGCACCATACCACCTGCACATTTTCATGCACTATACCTTACTTTCCTTTTTTTCTTGTGAGGATTTGCTAAGCCACCTGTTGTGTCATCTGCTCTGTCTGCTGACCCACAGCACACTCTTCCTGGGAATAGTTGCCAGTTACTGAACTGGGCCAAGAGTCTGAGTAACCAAAACCAGCAAGACTCGATTCAACTTCACTCTTCTCCCTTGTGATTTCAGGAGACTGCATGATGACTCACTTTGGAGGATAAATGCAAATAGTCCTTGATCACTCCTCCTACCTCTGCTAACACTGTGCTCTTCACTCTCCAGAGGAAGAACAAAGTCAAAAAAGGGAAGGAGAAAGAGGAAGAAGCAGCAGCACATTTTATTTCCAGTAATTTCCTGAAAGCAGAAATTAAAACTTCAAGTAACATTTGTATTTCTGAGGTGATGTGGAGCATTGGACTGACCTCTCAGCTTTGACTCAGGCTCCTCCCAAGGCCCTGCCCCTAGCCCTCACTAAGGATGCCCCCAAATGAGCCAGTGGTGGGAAGGAAACAGATCTGAAAATGGTGATACAAAAGCCCAGAGATATGAAATGATCTATACCAGGCCACACAGCTAGAACATGGGAGAGCTAGGTGAAAATATTAGGACTAGGTCTGTAGTACCTGACTTGATCCTCTTTCTATCACCTTATGATTTATGATCATTCCTCTCTTAAAACCCTTAAGACTGTGGAGAGTGCTGTATTCCAAAGCTACTTCATTCTAGTCCTCCCTTGTTCCGGAAATAGTTTTTCTCCCACAGACAAGACTGTAGGGATGAGCTGTGTAAGAGTGGCTCTGGTGTGCTGCCCATGAAGCTCAGCCTCTGGGGGAGAACAGACAGCTGTTAGAGACAACAGAGGTACTTTGCCACATCCCATCCAGGGACATCTAGGAATGCTAGGGGGAAGGACTGCATTGCCCTTTCTTCATGTCAGCCTCAGAGGACAGACTTACACAAGCATTTTTGAGCTCCCTCCAGGAATAGAGTTAAGTCGATTTGGGCTCTATCTGGGAATAATGAATTCCATAAGTAATACAATACAGTGGGAGATAGTATTTCCTAATATTAACTCTCATCTTAGTTCTTAGCACTTTTGGAGCGGCCTTTTGTGGAAGTGTTCTAAGACTCTGGTCACCAAGACTGGGACTTTCTTAAATATTTTAGCTACTTTAATCATATCCCCTCATATTTGGGTCTCTCCCTATAAGAATTTTCCTGTCTCTCTCTACATCACTCTCCCTGCCCCTGATTCATCACCTCCTGTGCCCCCTCTACATTTTCTCCAACTCCACAGTCACTGCCTTAATTTGTGGTGCTGTGGCTTCCACCCAGGTTTTGTACTTTGGAAACAAAATGTCTTCTGGTCTGTTTCCAATACTCCCTCTGAGAATGCCCAATATTTATCTGGCCTATTGAACACAATGTCTCATTAGTCCCACTATCTTCTCTGCTGCATCATAATTGATAATTCAGAGACTATCATCCTATAAACATGTTTATGATCTCTTCAACTCCTCTCTTTCCAAAGGGGAAAATGCATTTCTTTGTCCTTTCCACAGGGGAGGTCATCTGACATTTTATGTTACTTAAAAAAAAAAAAAAACTTATTGTGACTCATTTTTGCTGGACTGATATTTTCATGTTTAGAAGAACTTAGTGTCACCTGTGAATGTGGGAAGTTTATAATGTATTATTTTCTTCATATCATTTATTAAGCCACTGATAAAGACCAATCCCAGGGTGCCTGGGTGGCTCAGCCGGTTAAGTGGCTGCCTTCAGCTCAGGTCATGATCCTAGGGTCCTGGGATCGAGCCCTGTGTCAGGCTCCCTGCTCAGTGGAGAGTCTGCTTCTCCCTCTCCCTCTGCCTGCACCTCTGCCTGCTTGTGCTCTTTCTCTATCTCTCTGTCAAATAAATAAAAAATAAAATCTTTAAAAAAAAAAAAAGACCAATCCCATTGTCTATTTTTATGGGATTCTCCTTTTTATACTCTTCCATACATAGACTGTGTTTATGATCTATTTGTGATCTAAAATTAAAAAAAAATGTTCCTTGACTTACTTTGTAGTATGTGGTGTTGACTTTTCTACAATAAATTATAATTATAATTTATTGCCATTGTTTTCCCCAAAATATATGTTTTATATTGCTTAAACAATGTTAACTGGCAGGTCAGGGATGAGTTCCTCTTTTAAAAATTCTTCCTATTTTATAAATGTGTTAACAGTTTTTGTAACAAGCCCAGTCTTTATTATAAATCCTCCTCCCCATGTAGGAGTAAGGAGTGTACCATTGTCAGTGCCCCTGACTCCTCCACATCCTAACTTACCTCACTCCCTCTTTGTACAGGGGTCCAGTGGCCATTCACTCAGTCTACATTTAGTTACAGCTTACATATTTTGACAAAGGACTTTCTAATTTTACCTTGGGATTCTTCAAAATCTGAGACAAATAATGTCTTGACTAAATGACAACATAAGCACATATGGTTTTGAAAATCAGGTAAGTCTAGTTAATGCTAACCCTCTAAAAACATATCCATAAATCAGATATCCATTGTCCAAGTGATAAGGATTCACTGAGGTTCAGCTTGAAAGTGTTCTGGTGATTTGAGGCTTGCACTGAGCCCACCAAACTCCTGCAAAGGAGTGCGATGATCAGAGCCAGATATCATTCCAGAGTAAAGTTTGAACATCTCAATCTGATATCCAGGTATCCCCACAGCCTGCACTTGTGGGTCTTTCCATTCCTACCTCTGCCTCCATCTCCACCATTATTCCCCACCCAGACTATGAACATCCCTTCCTCTTTGTACTTGGACACATAGTGTATACTAACTTGCAGTATCGATCAATTCTATACTGTGTATATCTTGTTTGCTCAAATAGATGGGAAGCTACTTAAAAGTGGGTGCCATGTCTCCCATCTCTTTGAAACCCCACATTTAATAAATGTTTAAAAAGGTAAAAAATGTCAAAATATTTATAGTATCTATGTATTTGCCCACACATTCTCTTTTGCTATAAGAGCATTTAGCCTACCATGTCTGAATTAGGTAATAACTTATTCATTAACAAGTGAGAACAATTCCTCATTATAATCCTTGTATTAGGAAATCCACTGTGGGAAGGGATTTCAGGGTGGTTGCTTTTCACTTCCTCCAATAAAATCTTGGAGTTAATAATTTTTTTTTTCTGTCCTTTCCTAGGAAAGGTGTAAACCCAGCCTTCTATTCACTGAGGGCAAAATCACTTCAGCAGCTATAGGTTTAGCCACAGAAAAACCGCTCAGCTTCTAAAAACCAGGCAAATAATTTCCCAAATTGGCAATCTGGCAGCAGTATAACATTGAGGACACTTTCTCAACTCAGCTGAGAAAACTCAGGAAGGACCACATGGAGGAACAGAGGACAAAAGTTTTATGGTCTGTTGGGAATGTGCCAAAGAAAATCAGATAGCAAATGAAATGAGGTTTGTCAGTCACCCCACTGGTTTCAGGGGCACACTGTGCTCACTGCTATTCCCATGGAATAAGTCACTCCTTGCAGCACCCACCAGCTCAAGTTTAATCAGCCTCACAACTGCCTAGGAGAAAGCATCACTACGTCCTCTCATACAAGATGGGCACCTGAGGCAACAAAGCTTAGAGGAAGAACTACGGGTTACACAGGTAAGGAGAGAACTAAGAAATGGCACTCGTGGGAGGGGAGGAAAGGAGATACTCAGGGGAAAGGGAAGTGAAGCCTATTGAGCAGCCCATGGTGATCTGGTGATCAGTCCAAAACTGATGAATCCACATGTGACAAGGTCCAGAGACCACCTTCTCCTACTACTCTTCACTGCCAGGCTCCTCATCGCTGTCCTCCCCCAGAGGGAATTCCCTTGTGGGCTTCTGAGTTGCACACATCCGAGTCTCCATGGCGCAGTCCTGGCTCAAAATTGCCTGAAGCAAGACACAGGAAGAGAAATTACTGCATATCTTTTACCAATCTCCTTGTTCCCTTCCCTCACTAGCTCATCCAAGTCTAGTGTTGCTCAGGAAAGATTCAAGAAACAAGCATAAGATTCTTTTTCTGCTTCATTTGCAGGCACAGACCTCCCAAGGCACCTAGGTGTACCAACCCTGGTCAAGACAAATATCTAGTATGTTTTTAATTGAATCATAACAGTGGTAGTGTAAGCTACAGCAGGGAGCCAGCTGAAACTGGTACTATCCCCTATCAGACCTCCCTGTCTTTTTTTGTCCCTGTGATCAGCCCCTACATCCACCATTAAGCCACCCAGACCCTTAGGGTCCTCATGCTGCAATAAAGTATCTTATTAACTAAAATCACAAGTTATGGTTCTCTTCCATACTTTAAAGGGTTTTGTACTTTAAAGGATGACCTGCTAAGGATAATGGCAGACATGAATGAATGAATGAATGAGCCCAGTGGAATTTTGCCCACCTTGAGGAGATAATGTGTTAACTCACATTTTGCTGGTAACTAAAGTATAGGATGCCTTTGATGGCCCCTGCCCCCAACTCTTTATAAGCTTCTCATTTTTGTTCTTTACTTAGGGCCCTTCTTAACCACCCAGTATAAGAGGAGAAGTGCTTAGTAAAGAAGGGAAAATAAGGAAGAGCACAAAGGAAAAATAAAGGTGAAAATGGGATCAGAAAATATGGCAAAGCCAAAAGGACTTCCAAAGAGGGAGGAAATAGCATACGATAAAAAGCAATGAGAGAGATGAAAAACAAACAAATAAACAGAAGATTATTATTCTTTTAGCAACAGTCAGAGCCCCTTACAAGATTTTCCTCCTTGGCTGGGGGGCTTCTCAGGTAGTAGCAGAGAGGAGCATAGATGATGTTGATGACCCCAATGATGACCATAAGCCAGGGGAAGCCAATGGCATGCACAATGGCACCCCCAGTGGATGGGCCTGTGAGGAATAAACCAAATTCACAAGTGTTTATTGACACTTGATCACAAAGAAAACATTATGCAAGGGGCAATGTGTGGCCCAGAGGATGTCCCCAAATCAAATATCTCCAGAACCCTAGGAGAATCAGCCTCTTGGTTTTACTCTCAGCTAGTAAACAGTAGATAAGCACCAAGTCCTGGGTGCTCCCCTCTCCCCTGCCAACATACCTATAGCAAAGCCCATACAAAAAGCCACATCAGCTATGGCATAGACACTCCCATACACTGATGTGTGACGCAGGTCCACCAAGTGTCCCATGATGGGCATCATAGAGGAATCAACCATGCCTGTGGCCAAAGGAAACGACACTGTCAGCTCTACCCACAGTCCCTTCTCTTTTTTGTGGCACCCTTTCTTCTTCTCCTTCCTTTAGTCTATTCCCTTTGCCTGCTATCCTCCCACTCAGCACTAACACCTATTCCTGGTAAGAGTTAGGAGCCCACACCTTTGCCAGCCACCCTCCTGCTCCTTCTGCCTTTCCGTATACCTCCTCTGATCTGACCCAAAGCCAAAATTCAGGGGCTTTTTGTCTCCTTTAGAAGTACTCGTACCTATGGAAAAGCCAAGCCCTGCATTGGGGCCAATGAGACCAAAAATATTGTGAGCCAGAGGAACCTGCAGCAGGGAAGAAGGAAGAGTTTATCAGGAGTCCAATTAGTTACCACAAAACAAAGGGTTTTGACATGATAAGCATTTATTAACCATGTGCTATGTACCACATATATTATCTATCTGGATTATCACTTATCCTTATGAAGAAGAATCTTTACCTTTATTTTAAAATATGAAAGCTAGATTGGTGCCATTTGGGTTAAATGCCCTATCCAAAGTTAAAAAGCTAGTAAGTGGCAAGATTAAGTCTAAATCTCAGATTTGACTCCATTATACATAATAATGGACCTCTTCTATTGCTGAATTCTTCCTCCCCTTCCTTTAACCCCCTCCCAGACACACTTCTGTCCTCACTCTTCACTGAATGGAGTTTCCTCTCTTTTCTATTAGCAACATTCAAAGGTTTTAATTAAATCCTAATTTGGTAGCTACTGGGGCAAGAAGACAAAGAAAAGACACCAACAACCAATTACCTATAATCTAGAGGGGCAGGTGGCATGGTTTGGGGTGCTGCTTCAGCAAGCTTGTGAAACTCATTCTTTTGCCTTCCCAATCCTCCAGTGAAAGACTTCCTTTCCTCTTTCACCGCTTCCTTAGGTCCCTCCCTGAGCACCTGTTACCTAAACCTGCTACCCCAACACATTTACCCCTCAGAGGTTTAACATACCATCTAGATGTTTGTGGCTAATAAAATTTTAGGGATTATTCTTCAAAAGATAATTATAGTTTATCAATAGTTTGGGTTAAGGTTTACTGTGGGCCCACTGTGTGCTGTAGTTTATATGGACAGTCCTATGAGAGGCTATCAGAACCCTCTCTACACTGATGAGGATATTAAACAAAAAGAGGTGACATATCTAGCTCAAAATCCCACAATCAGCAAGTGGCAAAGCTGGGAATGAATGTGGAACTCATGCTCCTGATCAAGACTTCCAGCCTTTCTTGAACACGGTACTCAGTGCTTTACAGCTCTAGTCTCATCTCCTTTAAGCCTAGGAGGCAAGTGTGCTTATGATCCCCATTATGGGGAGGAGAAAATAAAGGCTTAGAGAGCTTGAAGGGGCTCCTGAAAATAGGAAAGCTCTTCTTTTTTTCTTTTTCTACCAAACATTCTGGCACCAGAGACTTACACAAGCATTTTATGACTTAATTTACTTATCCCACCCTAACAGGACCTCATGAGGTGAATTAAGTCATAAAATGAACCACTTTGATGGCCCCATAAATAGATGACAACATGAATTGTTTCATGTGGCCATGCATAGTGCCTCAGACCTCTGGCTACAGCTGCTCCATTGCCCTTCTTCTCTCCTTCCCCACCTCCTTTAATGGGATGCTTGGTGGCATCTCTCCCAGAGCTAAATTCTTACCCATGCAAAAAGAGTCTTTCCAACAGTCATTGCCAAGTTAAGCTCCTGTTCATTTTAAAGGAAAATGGTCTTTAAATGTCTGGGTCTCTCTCTCTCTCTCTCCCTTTCTCTCCCTCTCTCCTAGATCTTATTATACTTACACAAAGCAAGCTGGTGCCTACTACAATCATCCCAATCAGGGAGCACAGCCACCTGGAAGGAAAGAGCCATCAGCAAACTGTGCTAATGGGAGAAATCCCTTCTACCTGCCACCCTATCTCCACAACACTAGCCAGTCCTACACCCCGAATTCCAGGAACCCCTTAGGATGTGAGAAGATGAAGACATCTCTACATGATCTGTTTATAACCAGGTGAGCCTTTTCCCTGCCCTCCTCCTTGCCTGGCTCCATATCTCTTTCCATAGTAGAAGCAGAGGAGGTGCAATGGGACATATTCTTTCTTCCCCTAGCAGAGGAATCAGCTTACTTAGAAGGTACTTGCCCCTTGGAAGTAAACTTCAAACTTAATTCATGCTGTTTCCCAATTCAGACTACCTCTCACCTATTCATAGTTTATCTGGTCTTCAAGGTCCATCTCAAAACCCACAAAAAATACCAAACTTCTTTCCTTTTCTGATTTCCTATAGTAGGGGTTTTTAAGCTTATCTTAAAAATCTGTATGCTGAGCTTCAAAGATATAATTGAAAATTGAAGCTGTTCTCACTGTAGTAGAACAAGATCCAGACTCATACTTTTTAGCTCTCAAACCCTTTCCACTTGGTGGCTTCTGACGTACCTCTTTAAAACTCTCTAGGGCTCCAGTGAACATAGTTTCACAACCACTGCCCCCAAAGTACTGAGCTTTTTCATAGTTGTTCTGTGGGGTTATTTTAGCTCTTCAACTAGACAACAAACATCTGGAAAGTAAAGGTTATGCCTCATATATTCACAACCAACTCAGGGTCTTCCTTTATCGATAGCCCCCTCACCACCTACCCACTCCTATCCTCCCTGCAGGCAACTTTTATCCATGTGTACTTGTCCTAAACTTTCAACCTCAGAGAAGCTGTTCCTTATCCTAGGTGCAGGGACAACCTCAAAAAGGCTCTCCCACCTTACGTTCCTATTACTCTCCACAGATTCCAAGACTACATACCGACCCATCTTGTTGGCCAACACACCAAAGAGGTTGATGCCAATAAGGTAGGACACACTGGCAGGCAAGAAAGCTAGACCTGTAGAAAAACACAGTTCTAAGATTAGGACATGCCCAGTTTACTATAAAATACTTTATTTACTATAAGACAGTGAAGTCTCTCTGTTACCTTCAAGGATTCCAAACCACATTGTTTGTGTGTTGGAGATCCTTGTGCAAACCCAGAACAGTTAACATGAGGCTCTATACTTCCATTTTCCTCAGGATCTGGGCTTTGTTTAGCTTTAATACTGTACTCCCAGCTCCCCACTTAGATTTCCTAAAGGATCGCCCTAATGAGCCATTCTCATGTGTAAAATCCTTCTGATTATCATCAGCATAAGAACATCATCAGCCTTACAGAAAGAAATACGTATTTCCTGGGAAATGAAATTCCTGCCTTGCTATTCACCTTTCTTTCCATTGCTCTGGTAGTGATCTTGGATAAGTTACTAAACCTTTCTGAGCTTTAACATCCACATCTGGCAAAAACAAAGCTATGATTCTATCATACCAATTTACACTGAGGAGCAAATTGGATAGCATATTTTAAAGTATTTTGTAAACTGAAGCACTGGTCACATTGCTTTCTCTGACAGTAGAGTCAAGTGCTCTAGAGCATTCAAAGCTTTGAATCCACACAGTTCTGGGTTGAAACTGTGGCTTGGCTACTTTTTAGCTCTGTGACTTTGGGCACCTTACCCTCCCTGAGTCTGATTCATTCAATCAGTACTTTTAATGAGCTTTTACTATGTGTCAGGTGTTCTAAGATTAGAGGGGTAAATAAGCTAGACAAAATCTTAGCTTTTAGGGAGTTTACATTCCAAGGGAGAAAGCCAGACAATAAACAAGTAAACAAATGAAGGAAAAAGATAATTTAGAAAAATGTTAAGTTGTGTGAAAAACATTTAATGTTGTGGCATGGAAGTGTGATCAGGAATAGAGCTAACTTCAATTTGGTGGCTGGTAAGGCTTTTTTGAAGAGACAACATTTAAACTGAGATCTGAATAACCCAAACCGAGCATTCCAAGCAGAAACAAACAAATAAACAAAGAAAAACATCTAATGCAAATACAAAGACATTAAAGAAGAAACTATTTGTCTGTTATAGGAATAGAAAAGAGGTCTGTGTGGCTGAAGCACAATGAGCAAAGTGAAGAGTAATAGAAAATGTAGGCCTAGAATTTGGAATTTATTCCAAGTGCAATGGGAAACTTTGGAGGGGAATGACATATTTTAATTTACATTTTTTCAAGCCCTCTGGTTGTGTTTAGAAGAATGGGTTCACAGGACAAGACTGACTATTTGAAGAACCCAGGAAGAAAGAGATAATGCCTCAGCTTAGATATCATGATGGAAAGAAGTGAATAAAACAAGAGGCATTATTATGGTGGTAGAGTCAGTGGATTTTTCTGTTGGATTGAGTATGGGCATAGTGGGAGTGAGAGAAAGAGAAATCAAGGATCACTCATGTTGTCTTACTCAGTTGGGTAACTGGAGATGGAGGAATAACTTAGGGAAACATGAAAGGTTTGAAATGCATATTAGAAATCCAACTGGAGATGTCAGGCAGTGGGTGTACAGGTCTAGACTTCCAAGAACAGATCCTAAGCACAGATATAAATGTTTGACTGATTGGTTTATCCATGGTTCTTAAAGCCATAAGAAGGGGGGGAGCAAGATGGTGGAGGAGTAGGAGACCTAAATTTCGTCTGGTCCCAGGAATTCAGCTAGATAGGTATCAAACCATTCTGAACACCTACAAACTCAACAGAAGATTGAAGAAAAGAATAGCAGCAACTCTCTGAACAGAAAAGCGACCACTTTCTGGAAGGTAGGATGTGCGGAGAAGTGAATCCGAGGAGGTATTTGGGAAGAATGACCGAGGGGGGAGGTAACCAGCTACCGGCAAGTGATAGAGCAGCGGAGCACAAAATCAGAACTTTTAGAAGTCTTCTCTGCTGAGGGACTCGCTCCAGTGGCTAGCAGGGGGTGGAACACTCCCTGGGACAGTGTGGTCTCAGGACCCTCAGGGTCACAGAAAGACCAGGGATGCCTGAGTGTGGCAGAGCTCCCAGGTATCAGAGCAGGGAAGCCGGCTGCACAGATGGAGCCGAGGAGTGGGCTGTCAGCTTGGGGTTGCCATAAACCGTGATCCGTGGCACAGTCAGGCCACTGCTCTTCCAGCAGGGACCCAACAAGCAGCAGATCCAGGGAGACTCCCCTTCCTCCTCCAGGAGGAGCGGCACAGGAGTGCACTGCAGGAATCTGCTGGGTTTGGAGACTCCAAACGAGGTCCTGTGCCAGAGATAGAAATGCTCAGTCACAGGCCAGGTGAGCACGGAGTGTGGCCAGAGACCAGGAAGACAAGAGTGATTGACAGCTTTTCTCTGGGGGCGCACTGAGGAGTGGGGCCTTGAGCTCTTGGCTCCTCCAGGGCCAGAGATTGGGAGGCCGCCATGTTCATTCTTGTCCTCCAAAGCCATATGGAAAGCTTGCAGGAAACAAAAGCTATGAGAGCAAACCCAAGCGGATTACTTAGCCCAGCCCCTGGCAAGGGTGGGGCAATTCTGCCTCAGGCAAAGACATTTGAGAATCAAGGCAACAGGCCCCTCCCCCAGAAGATCAGCAAAAACAGCCAGCCAAGACCAAGTTTACCGACCAATAAGAACGGCAAAACCCCAGTGCTAGGGGAATACAGCACATAGAATTCATGGCTTTTTTCCTCCTGATTCTTTAGTCTTTCAAAGTTAATTTTTTAAATTTTCTTTATTTTTTTCTTTTTCTATTTTTTTAATTTTTCTTTTTCCCTTTTGCAACCAACATCTTATCAATCCTTTTTTTAAAAATCTTTTTATTTTTCATTTCTATTTTTTTTAAGATTTTATTTATTTATTTGACAGTGAGAGACACAGTGAGAGAGGGAACACAAGCAGGGAGAGTGGGAGAGGGAGAAGCAGGCTTCCCACTGAGCAGGGAGCCTGATGCAGGGCTTGATTCCAAGACCCTGGGATCATGACCTGAGCTGAAGGCAGATGCTCAACAACTGAGCCACCCAGGTGCCCCTTATTTTTCATTTTTAGAGTCATATTCTATCCCTTCATTGTAGTTAACCTTATTTTTTGTATATATATGTTATCTCTTTAAAATTTTGGGATACAGTTTCTTCTAACAGACCAAAATATACCCTAAATCTCTAGTGTATGG